TGAGCAGGTGGTTAAACTAGAGGACCGAGGTCCCTTCCAACTCCGTATTTCTATGATTCTATAAAGGTCTGCAGCTCAAGCAGAGGGTTAGACTAGAGGACCGAGGTCCCTTCCAACTCCGTATTTCTATGATTCTATAAAGGTCTGCAGCTCAAGCAGAGGGTTAGACTAGAGAACCTCCGAGGTCCCTTCTAACTCTGTAATTCTGTAAAACTCCTGCTCGAGCAGGGGGGTGGACTAGAAGACCTCTGAGATCCCTTCCAACTATTATGCTATGCTTCGACACACACACTGAGCCCATCCGTTCCCCTGTGGTAGCATTGCCAAACCATGAAGCAGAATTCTTGCTCGACGCTCACCTTCCTCCTTCGCTTCGGCTCCGTGGTCCTCCGGGGGGCCCTGAAAGAGATCCAGGAAGCAGGTCAGACAGCAGAGGGTGACCTCCCAAGATAGAGCAAGAAGAGACTGGGCAGTCACTTGTCTGGAATGGTCTAGGTCTCCTTCTTGAGGAGGAGGTTGGACTAGAGGACCTCTGAGGTCCCTTCCAGCTCTATACTGATTGATTGATTGATTGATTGATTGATTGATTGACTGTCAGAGATACAGTGCCCAGACTTGGCAGGAGGAGGGGGGAAGGAAGGAAGGACGGAAGGAAAGGTGAAAGAAAGAAAGAAAGAGTAAAAAGGAAGGAAAGAAAGAGAACGAAGGAAGGAAATAGGAAAGGAGAAGAAAGAATGGAAGGAAAGGGAATGAACAAAATGAAGGAAGATAGGAAGGAATAGAGGGAGGGAAAAAGAAGAAAGGAAGGAAAAGAGGGAGAGGGAAAAGAAAGGTAGGTAAAAGGAGGAACGGGAAGGAGGAAAGAAAGAAAGAGAAAAAGAAAAGTGGGTAAAAAATCAAGCAAGGGTGGAAGGAAGGAGAGAGAGAGAAAGAAAGAGTAAAGAATGAAAGAAGGAAGGAAGGAAGGAAGGAAGGAAAAGGGGGAAGAAAAGAAAGGGGGAGGAGAGAAATAGGGAGTGAGGGAAGGAAGAAAGAAGAATCCCACCGATTTTGCCCTGGGAAATTTGCAATCTTTTTCCTGATTGGTGTCCAGCCTTCCTTCCCAAACTTCCTTCCCCGCTTTCGTTTAGGTGGGATAGCTTCCCCCCCTCTTCCCCTTCAAGTCCTGCCCAAGTCCCAGCCGCAACTCCGGAGCCTCCAGCCGCAAAGCAAAGACCCTCGGAGGTTGTCGCGGCGGTCTCCTCTGCTCTCCCCCCCCCCAGTGACCAAAAGGGGCATATCCTTTTGGTGGGGGGCATCTTTCCACCTACCTGACCCCTGGCTCTTTTCCTTGCCGAGGCCATCCAGTCGTTCTCCCAGGATCCGTTCCCCCAGGATCCGTTCGGCTCCTCTGCAGGCTGCAAAAGTGAAAGGAAAAAACAAGGGGAATCCAGCGGATCTCTCAGATCTCTCGGCAAGGGCGGCCTCTGAGCGGGCAGAGCGACCTAGTGGTGGGAGCTGAGGCGGAGACCCCCCCCATTTGGCCTTGGAGGGAGGGGGAAGGAAAGGAAGGAGGGAAAGGAAAGAGGGGGGGAGGAAAAAGGGGAGGGAGGGAAGAAAGAAGGCAGGGAAGGAGAGGAAAGGATAGAAGGGAGGAAAGGAAGAGAGGGAAGGAAGGAAGGAGAGGAAAGGACAGAAGGGAGGAAGATAAGGAAAAAGGGAGGGAGGGAGAGAAGGGAATGAAGGAAGAAGGGAGGGGTGATGAGCAAAGGACAGAAGGGAGGGAGGGAAGGGGAAAATGGAAAGGAGGGAGGGAGGAAAGAGGAAGGGGCGGAGGAAAAAAGGGAGGGAAGGAAGGAGAGGGAAGGACAGAAGGGAGGGAGCCGGGGAAGGGAAGAAATGAAAGAAAAGGAGGGAGGGAAAATGGAAGGAAAGGGAGGGAAGGGGAGGGAAGAACATTAGGAAAGAAGGAAGGGAAAGAGAAAGGAAGGAAGGAAAGGAAAGAGGGAGGGAGGAAAAGGGGGAGGGAGGGAAGAAAGAAGGCAGAGAAGGAGAGGAAAGGATGGGAGGGAGGGAGGAAAGGAAGAGAGGGAAGGAAGGAAGGAGAGGAAAGGACAGAAGGGAGGAAGATAAGGAAAAAAGGGAGGGAGGGAGAGAAGGGAATGAAGGAAGAAGGGAGGGGTGATGAGCAAAGGACAGAAGGGAGGGAGGGAAGGGGAAAATGGAAAGGAGGGAGGGAGGAAAGAGGAAGGGGCGGAGGAAAAAAGGGAGGGAAGGAAGGAGAGGGAAGGACAGAAGGGAGGGAGCCGGGGAAGGGAAGAAATGAAAGAAAAGGAGGGAGGGAAAATGGAAGGAAAGGGAGGGAAGGGGAGGGAAGGACATTAGGAAAGAAGGAAGGGAAAGAGAAAGAAAGGAAGAAAGAGCTACTTTCTTGTCGCCCCTCCCCCGAATACAGATCTTATCTACAGGGCGGGGCATAACCTTTTCCTAGGGGGTCACAGCAAGATCGACAGCAGTTTACAACTTCCCTCCCTCCTTTTCTTTCATTTCTTCCCTTCCCCGGCTCCCTCCCTTCTGTCCTTCCCTCTCCTTCCTTCCCTCCCTTTTTTCCTCCGCCCCTTCCTCTTTCCTCCCTCCTTCCTTTCCATTTTTCCCTTCCCTCCCTCCTTCCCTTCTGTCCTTTCCTCATCACCCCTCCCTTCTTCCTTCATTCCCTTCTCTCCCTCCCTCCCTTTTTTCCTTATCTTCCTCCCTTCTGTCCTTTCCTCATCACCCCTCCCTTCTTCCTTCATTCCCTTCTCTCCCTCCCTCCCTTTTTTCCTTATCTTCCTCCCTTCTGTCCTNGCTGTTGTCGACGCGCTTTTGACATCGCGGTTTTAGCGCCGCGGTTTTGTCGGCGCGCTTATGACGTTCGCGCTTTTGTCGGGTCACGCTTATTTTACCCACCTTGGAAGGATGGGAGGCTGAGTCAACCTTGAGCCAGTCAGGATCGAACTGCTGACAGTTGGCAGAGTCAGCCTGCAATACTGCATTTTAACCACTGCACCACCAGGGCTTCTTCTGTCCTTCCTTCCTCCCTCCCTCCCTGGAGGGCTGTTACCTCCTATTTAATGTTGAGATTTTTCTGTTCATTCAGAGTGTTAAGCTCAAGGGGCCCTCAGCCTGATCCAGCGTAATACATTTCCTTATAATTTACAATGCCTCAATCCATAATTCAAACTCTTGTCTGTTATACAAAGCTTGATTTTTGCTCTGAGAGAACTGGGCTCCGCTGAAGCCATAATTTGGAGAATTATGGGCCTTGGGTCAGATAAGGAGGGAAGCAAAATAAAGAAGGGGAAGGAAGGAGATAAAAAAGGTTAAGGAGGAAGAAAAGGGGAGGAGAAGAAGAAAGGGGAAAGAGGAAAAGGAAAGAAGGATGAAGGAAGGAAAGAGAAGAAAAAGGAGAAGCAAATAAAGGGAAAAAAAGAAAGGAATGGAGGGAGGGAGGAGAGGACAAGAAGAAAGGAAAGGGAAAGGAAGGAGAGAGGAGGAGGAAGAAAGGAAAAGGGGAGGAGAAGAAAAGGGGAAGGAGGGAGGAAGGATGAAAGAAGGAAGAAGAAAAAGGAGAAGCAAAGAAAGGGAAAAAGGGGAGTGAGTAAGGAAGGAAAAGAAGAAAGGAAAGAGGAAGGAAGGAGAGAAAAGAAGGAGGAAGAAAGGAAAATGGGAGGATAAGGGGAAGAAGAAAGGGGGAGGAAGGAAAAGAAGGAAGGAAGGGCAAAGGAAGGAAGGAAAAGGAAACAGAGAAGCAGAAGGAAAACAAAGAAGGGAAGAAGGAGTAGGAGAAAAAGACGTTTTTTAGGAAGAAACGATGACTCAAGAAAAATCACCCTTTCCTCCCTCTCTTCACTGGCGAAGAAATATTCCACACCGTTGAAAGGAAACAGACGCCCGGCTGTATATCTCCTGCTCCATTAAACACTTCTCCCCATTCAGATAATTTTGACTTAAAGTCTTTGGTAGGCTGCCCAAAAAAGAGAAAGAGAATCAAATCTCTTTGTGCATTTAAAAAAACAACAACCAAGCATCTAATAATTGTATCAGTATGTATACGTTTAAATGTGTATTTTTTTTTTTTTTTTTCTTGTGATTTATGGCCACGGTTCAGAGACATCGACTGCATGTGCTCCCAGCGTGCTCCAAAGGACTAGTTTTGAGTTGAGCTGTGGGATTCAGCCTGTTCGGATCGGTTTGGGTGAATCCAATGTTAATTTTACTCTGGTTCGCCGAACCGGTAGTTACAAGGACCGGCTGACCCCACCTTGCCGCTCCCCTCCCAGGAGTCTCCATGCGGCCAGTTCTTCATGCCAGGTAAATGCAGGGCCTCCGNATCAACTATACTAATGAAACAGCATAATGAAATAAGAAAAATTGTGGCAGGCCAAAATTCTAAAAGGAAGATAATTGCAGACCTGACATCCACATTGCTTCCACCCGGTCTACCCAATGCAAAGAGGAAACATGCCAGCAGTTTGGGGAGTGACGTCAAGCTGACCACGCCCAGGCGGTTGGGCCACGCCCACCTGTTGGGCCACACCCCCTGGGGCTCCCGAGGTCAACCACAGCCCTGATGCGGCCCTCAGTAAAATTGAGTTTGACACCCCTGATGTATTCCTCAATTACGTTTGAGTTCAGGTGTGAAAAATATGAACCAACCTTCAAATTTCCACTAGGTTGTAAATGACTGAGTTGTGGGGGGGTTTTTTTGGTTTCCTCATCACTTTCTAGCGATCCTTCAGAAGACGAGACGTTTAGCGCACCACAAATAAGAAGTTCCTTCAGTATGAATACGGATCTTTCATTAGATTCCGAGCCCCCTAAGGCTGGGGGGCTGACCCAGAGGAAGCCCTTCAGGAGGCTAATCTCCATTGAGGAAGACCATCTGCCGCATCTTCTGAATAGGACAGAGAGGCCGCTAATACGGTGCTCTGAAGAAGAGGAAGACGAGCGAGGATCGGGCGTGGACGGAGCCCAAGGGCAGCCACAGGTGGAACAGGCTCGTATCTCCCCTAGAGAAGAGCCCGTGGGAAAAGAAACCCTGACACATGTAAGGAACAAAACCGAATGGTTTAGGTTGTACAGGAGAGAACATCTGTAGCTTACGGTCGAACGATGGGGTCCTTGGTGCTCTCGGAGGTGGGGTTGTTTTCTTGCAGATTTTAGATCTTGTTTTGGATGGAAGTGTGTTTTTGACCAAATTAAAAGAATAACAGAGTTGGGAGGGACCTTGGAGGTCTTCTAGTCCAACCCCCTGCTCAAGCAGGAAACCCTGTAGCAGTGATGGTGAACGTTTTCCCCCTCGGGTGCCAAAAGTGTGCACGGGCGCACGCTGTCACGCCCACATCCGTAATTGTTGTGCCCCCCCTGCGCATGTGTGTGCAACTCCCCTCCCCCCGTTGCCCCCTGGGTATGCACGCATGGCTTTCTTGGAGCCTGGGGAGGGCAAAAACAGCCTCTCCCCCACCAAGACCCTCCGGAAGCTGGAAACGGCCCATTTTCTGACATCTGGTGGGCCTGTTGGGCCGGTTCCACCACAAATGCGCGAACGACAAAAGCGTGCCTGACTAAACCGCGGTGACAAAACCGCGCCGACAAAACCGCGCGACGAATGAGCGACGAATGAGCCCTGAAGCGCGCCGACAACAGCGCGCCGACAGAAGCGCGCTGTAACCTAACCCTAAACCTAACCCTAACCCTAACCCTAACCCTAAATCTAACCCTAACCCTAACCCTAACCCTAAAACTAACCCTAACCCTAACCCTAACCCTAAATCTAACCCTAACCCTAACCCTA